AAGATCTTTCACATCTCTGGTTAGAAAGATGTCAAGGTATTTCTTTCTCTCTTTTTTTTTTTTGGTTATTGTGAATGGAATTGTGCTTTTTATTTGAGTTTCTGTTCATTTATTATTGGTGTATAGAAATGAATGTTTTTTGCACATTTATTTTATATGCTGACATTTTGCCAATGTCCTTTATTAGTGCAAGGAGGTTTTTGACAGAATTTCTTTGGTTTTCAGGTAAACAATAAAACAACTGCAATGAGAGATAACTTGAATTCCTCTTTTCCTATTTGGATATGCCTGGTCACCTTCTCTTCTCTGATTGCTCTAGCTAGGACTTTCAAACTATGTAGGACAGGAGGGGTGAGTGTGGGCATCCTTGTCTTGTTATAGTTTTCAGGGGAAGTGGTTCCAATTTCTGTGCTGTTTAGTAGTATGCTGGCTGTGGGTTTATTATAGGCGACTCATCCTATTTTGAAGTAAGTTCCATCTCTGGCTAGATGTTCAAGGGTTTTTATTAAGAAGGGATGCTAGATTTTATTAAAAGCTTTTTCTTCATCTAATGATATAATCATGTTGTTTTTGTTTTTACATCTGTTGATGTATTTAATTATGTTTATGGTCTTATGAATGTTGAACCAGTCTTGCATCATGGGGATGAAGCCTCTTTGATCATGGTGGATGATTTTTGATATGTGTTGTTGAATCTGGTTTGCTAGAATCTTGTTGAGAATTTTAGCATCTATGTTCATCAAAGATATTAGCTTGTAGTTCTTTTCCTTTGTTGTATCTTTACCTGGCTTGGGTATCAATGTGATGATAGCATCATAAAATGATTTGAGGAGAGTTTCAGCTTTCTCAATTACTTGGAATACTTTCAATAGGATTGGTATCAGTTCCTCCTTGCATGTTTCATAGAATTCTGCTGGAAAGTCATCTGGTCTAGGGCTTTTTTTGTAGATAGTATTCTTATGACATAGACAATTTCCTGGATTGTTATTGGTCTATTTAAGGTCTCTATTTCTTCTTGTTTCAACCTAGGGATGCTGTGTTATATCAGAAAGCCCTCCATTTCCCTTAGGCTTTCAAGATTTTTTTCCATGCAACTGTACACAGTAGTCTCTGAAAATCTTTTGTATTTCTTCAGGGTCAGATGTGAATTCAGCTATGTGTTTCAGATTGTGTTTATTTGGACTTTTTCTCTCTTTTTCTTGGTCAGTGCAGCTAGGGGACCACTGATCTTGTTTATCCTTTCAAAGAACAAGCTTTGTGTTTCATTAATTTTTTGTATCATCTTTCTGACTTCTATGTCCCAGATTTGGGCTTTTTATTTTGCTGATCTGGATTCTTCTGCTGAAGTTAGTGTTTTGATGATATTGCTTTTCCAACTTCCTTAGGTGACTTGTTAGGCTGTTCACTTGTGATCTTTCCATTTTCTTCATGTGTGTTTGTAGAAATTTGAATTCTCCTCTTACTACTGCTTTCCTGGAATCCCAGAGATTTTGGTAAGATGTTTATTATTTTCATTTGTTTTTAGGTATTTTTTTTAATCTCAGTTTTGATTTCTGTGTTGACCCAGGAGTTGCTTAGTATCATGTTGTTCAGTGTACATGTCTTAGTGGGTTTTGGGAAATCCTTGTTGGTGTTGACAATTATTTTTATTCCACTCAGTTCTGAGAAGATGCATGGAAAATTTCAACCTTATTAAATTTGTTTATGCCTGACTTATGGCCAAGTGTGTGGTCAATCTTAGAGTATGCTCCATGTGGTGAAGAGTAGATTGTATATTCTATGGTCATTGGACAGAGTGTTTTTGTAGGCATCAGTTAAGTCCATTTGATCAAGAGTCATATTGATTTCCTGATCTTCTTACTGATTTTTTTGTCCTGATGATCTGTCTAGTGTTGTGAGTGGGGTATTAAAGTCGCCAGTTATCATTGTGTTAGAGTCAATACCTTTTTTTATTTTCCCAGAAACTGCTTTATGAAAGTTGGTGTTCCTATGTTGGGAAGGTAAGGGAGTTTGGAGCTCCATGGGACCAGAAGCCAACAGCCACCCTGGGGGGCGGGGAGCAGCAATGGTGGTGGTACCAGAACAGTGTGTGAGGCTGGTGACTTTCTGCTCACAGGTCTTCTCAGCTGACTGAAGAGCAGGCTGGCAGTGGCAGGAGAAGCAGCCACCTTAGGTCACAATTTGGAGACTGGGTGGTGTGGGATGGGGCAATGCAGGCCTGTGCTTTGTCTTGGGGCTCCAGCTTATCTCTGGTCCCTCTGCTACTTGGGGGTGGGCTGGGGGTGGCAGAGTGCAAGACCGCCAGGTGCTGCAGGTTGGCCTGATACAGGGTGGCTCAGGGCAGAGTGAGGCAGTACAGTTGGGGAGGGACCTCAGAGTTCTATAGGTCCAGGAACCAAGGACCATGGTGGGTGGACAAGGGTGGGAGGAGGCAGTGGTGGCAACAGAGCAGTGTGTGGTACAGGTGTCCTCCTTCCCTCCAGCCTGCTCCACTGGCTAAAGAGCAGGCTGGCAGTGGCAGGAGCAAGCAGCACTCACCTGAGGTCTAAATTTGGAGGCTGAGTGGGGCAATGCAGGTCTCTGCCTGGTCTCGGGGCTCCAACTGATTTCTGGTCCCAGGTGGCTGGGGGCCGAGCCAGGAGAAGCAGAGTGTGAGACAGCCAGGAACTGCAGGTTGACCTGGCATGTGGCAACTTGGGGCCAGGTTGGGCAGTGCAGCCAGGAAGGGAGCTGGGAGCTCCACAGGCCAGGAGCCATAGGCCACCCTGGATGGGGGTAGGGACAGGGAGCTTGCAACAGTGACAAAGCAGTGCTTGTGGCTGACTACCTCCAGCTCACAGGCCTGTGTGACCGACAGAAGAGCAGGCCGACTGTGGCAGGAACAGCAGGTACCTGGGAGAAAGCGGGAGCTTTTATGGACACTCACTTTCTTGGAGACTCTCAGGGCCCAACTTTTTCCATTGCCTTCCTGCGGAAGCCCAGTGTATTTTCAAAACAATTATTTATAAGTGTACATGCACCCCTGGAATCAAAATATTTTATGCACACCTGAAGATATACTTATTCCATAAGTGAATATCTTCTCCCATTCTCTAGGGTAAATGAGGTAAATATCAGCATTTTAAACTGATATATTATTTAGCTTTAAATTTTGTCTTTGTAGATTTATAAATAAATTACTAAATATTCATAGTTTTGCCATCAATTTGAATAAAATGCATCTATCTTTATGGATGGATGTACAAATACAGTTAGTTTTCAATGATTGATATATACTTACAACTCAGTTGTCTTACTGCATTAAATATTTATATTCATGTCCATAGATGCTCCTGTTAATTATCATCTGACTGATTAAGACAAGGTACAGGTGGCAGATTGTGCTGCAGGCCACTGAGTTTGTCTCCAGACTACAGATTGTATTTATCTGTATTTGTCAAGTCTGGAGTGCTGAGCACTACATTCTACTGGCAGATTTCAAGAGAGAAAAACCTCCCCAAATGAACTAAGCAGTGACTTGAAATCCAATATTCTCCAAAACAGATTCACATTTTTTGGGTGGGGGTTGGAGTCTCACTCTGTTGCCCAGACTGTAGTGCAGTGGCCACTCCCAGCCACCACAGCCTTGACCTGCTGGGCTCCAGCGATCCTTCCACCTCATCCTCCAGAATTACAGGTGTGCACTACCATGCCCAGATAATTTTTTTTTCTTTTTTTTTGAGTTGGTGTCTCACTTGGTCACCCAGACTGGAGTGCAGTGGCCGTTCCCGGCCACCGCAGCCTCGCCTGCTGGGCTCCAGCAATCCTTCTGCCTCAGCCTTCCGAGTAGCTGGAATTACAAGCATGTGCTCCTACGCCTGGCTGATTTTTTGATTTATTGTAGAGATGAGGTCTTGCTGCCCAGGCGGGTCTCGAACCCGCGGGCTCAGGCAATCCACTCACCTCAGCCTCCCAAAGGCGCAGGATTACAGACTGAGCCACCGAGTCTGGCTTAATTTTTTGATTTTATTGTAGAGATGAGGTCTTGCCTGCCCAGGTGGGTCTCAAACCCGCGGGCTCAGGCAATCCACTCACCTCAGCCTCCCAAAGGTGTGGGATTAGAGGCTGAGACTCACATATTTTTAATTAATTATTTCATCTTAGTAATTTTTACAGTTTCTAAGAACCTTGATTCCATTTAAGTATTTACTTAAAATATTTGATGGACAGATAGCTATATGTATCACCCTTTACAGTATTCTCAATATTTTCAAATGTAATGTTGATTGATTAGAAAATAATGCTGATTATGTTGTGAAAAAGTGACTTTAATTTGGAATTTTCTTGAATGATCTCACTGGCAAAAAATGTATATCTCTTCAGCAGAAGTAAACAATATCTGATAAGATTTGGATTTCAGAAGAGGATGATTCCAGATTCATTGGGATCTGAAGACAGAGTGTGGACTGAGGTGAATGCTGGAGAGGTGCTAATCAGTTGAGAGCATCACAACTCCTCCCTACACCTGGGCTTCCAAGACAGATTTGAGCACCATATAGTTAGAAATCATATGCACTCAAGGATACACAAACTCTGGTTTCTGAAAGTTCAGATAATTCCCCGTGATTCTAGTATTTGCTTCTCTGAATGACAAAACCCAGCTTTGAAATGCTATGATTTAAATTATTATTAGTTGAATCAACACAATTTCTCTTGAGAAAGCTAAAGTGGTTTTGCATTTGTACTAAGGATTCCAATTATTCCATAATACCCACTCTTCAGGTGTACTGATCTCATTTTGTTATTAAATCAGGAGAGAAATTGTCATATTCATGCTGCTGCAACCGAGGAGGAGAAAAGAGAGTCAGAGTGCAGAGGAGCCTTCTTGGCCTCCACACCCAAAATATACCAATGACTTTCAAAACAAAGCTGAGTCTGATAAATACCCTTAGAAGTTGTAAGCACCAGGAGGAGCAGCTGGGGCAGACCAGGCAATATGTGCACCTCCTTCCATGGGTAGTTTATGTAATGGCTTGTAACACTGTGGGAGGGTGACTGTTACTCTGTTGACAGTAATAATTAGCAACAACTTCGGGCTGCAGGGTGTTGATGGTGAGAGTGAAATCTGTCCCAGACCTACTACCACTAAACCTTGATGGGACTCCAGATTGCAAGCTAGATGCCAAATAGATCAGGAGTTTAGGAGGATTCCCTGGTTTCTGCTGATACCAGTGTAAATTATTGCCAATGCCCTGATTCGTCCAGCAAGTGATGGTGACTCTGTCTCCTAGAGATGCTGAAAGGGAGGTTGGAGACTGGGTCATCTGGATGTCATATCTGGCACCTGAAATTAAAGACATAAAAAAATCCACACAATCATGTTATAAGAAGATTTCTCTGCACGGTCAGGCAGTAATCAGCACACTGGCTGAATCGATTCCTAGTTTTCTCTTTCTTTACCTGGGAGCCAGAGAAGCAGGATCCCCAGAAGCTGAGCAAGGACCACCATGCTCATGCTGTGACCTGACAGAGACTGAGCCCTGCACTGGGTGGGAACAGCCTATTAATAAATCTTCCGGACCATGAGCTATATTTTGGGCACATGCAAATCAACAGAGGATAGGGCAGACTTGGCACAGCTGTGGATCTGGCACATCTCAATAACTCAGGACAGGTGCAGTGTCTCCTGTTTCCCAGGTCAGACCAGGGAGTACAGATTTGTTTGCAGAGAATACATTGCTGCATAAAGAAAATATTGTCAGTAAAGATATTTAGAAGACAACTATATAAATTTAAAATGGATTCAAGGACTAAATTCAATAATGTATTTTATACTTTTACTAAAATTATATAAAAGACTCTACTTGTTTGTAAGTAATGTATAACAAAGTTTGGGAGGGTTCTGATAAGTCTTCAAGTTACTCTGAAATGAATCAAATGGGGGTAAAAATAATTTGGCTGCACTATCAATATTAATGAGTATAAAATTACTGCCTTGTTATAAATTAAAAACACTCTCAGAAGCATGTTTAATATATTAAAAGGTATTCTGTAATGATCTTAAGTCATTGTTTTTACCAGCATAAGGTCAAGCAATTCTCTGTAGATGCAGAAAGATGATGTCATGATTCCTCAATGCATGTCATTCACATGTCATGTCATCCACCATCTACCAGCAAGTTCCTGGGATTTTGGTGCAGCTACCCTAGAGCCTGAATTTCTGCAGAGCAGGTTAGGAAGAAGTCTGCGGAAAGACCAGGTCAGTGAACTCTCTCCTAAGAGAGAGCATCTGATGCTTGCTGCATGTCCATGCCATGCACTATCAATGCCACCTTTCTCTTTAGCAGTGAGTAGGAAAATCATCCTCAACTAGATGCCAGCAACCCTGCCTACACATGTAGGAGAGAGTTTCCATCTCCCGCCAAGCCTCTGCTCATCTGTATGGAGAAATAGTTTGAATCTCAGTGAAGCTTAGGCATAAATATGAACCTGTATACCTCATATCTCTGCCTTGGTCAGGGCATCCTGGTAGGTTAAGCATCACTGGAAATCAAACCAACAATATCAGCACCAGTGGACTGCAAACTAGAGACTTAGGGATTATTACAGTTCATGACTATAGGTGGCCAGACCACAGGGTTGCAACCTATGCACAATCCTCCTGCTACTTTAGGAGCCTAAGTTTTGCTGAAGATTGCTAGCAAGTAGCCTTCCATGATCCATGTTTAGAGAGATGCAGCTGTTGACTGAAATACACATCTTTGTGGGGATGCAGAGGGTTGAATGTAGAAGTCACCTTTGATACCCTGGGTCTTTCCCATTTACTACACTTCTTCTGAGTCCCATGATTATATATTCCCCTCATGGATCTCTCTGAAGCTCTCTCTGAAGCTGGGAAGGCAGCTCGGCCTGCACACATGACAGAACATAGGGTCTGGAATGAGCATCCCCTAGGACAGCCCTCATCGATGACAGAGTAGGGGTACACATACCCCAGCTCCCTCAATTCTCAGGTAGAATAACCCAGAGAATTTTCCCTGTGTTTCTATGTGAGCTTGATCTCCTTTCATCATCAGGTACAGCTCCTTGCCAAGGAACCTTTTATTGTCTATCCTCTCTTCTCTTTGTCACTTTTTCCCTTTTTTAGTAAAATTTCTTATTCATGGATGGTATGCCTGGTTTGAATTCTTGCCACTTCACATTTTTTTCATGCAGTGGAAAAGTCAGAAATTTTTTGTCTAATTTTCCTGTTCCAATCTCTCTTACATCAGATTTAAGAGTAAGTCTTTCCTCCTGGGTCACAAAGACAAAGGGCTCTCTAACAAATACCTACACACTATGATTTTTTCTCATTAGAACTGCTGACTCAGAATCACCCAGAACTTAATATCCACATGCCACAGGGTCCCAATCTCGTAATGTTTTATTCTACTTCAGGAGTACATAAAAATGGATATGATGAGAGTTATTGGTGAAATGAATAGTGGCCATCCAAGTCATTATTATATATTCTAATCTATAATCTAATATCTATATTAGAAAATATAGATAACCTATATTATATGATAATAATAATCTATGCAAATAAACTATGATAATAATAACCTATGAATGTTACCTTATCTATGAAAAGTAACTTGGCCGATGTAATTAAGGATTTGGGAATCAAGAGAGAATCCTCAATTATATGGGTGAGAACAGTATAGTCACAAAAGTACTTATACAAGGAAGGCAGGAATATAGCCCTGAGAGGGGAGCTGGAACAGTGGAAAGGGATGCTGGAGTGATGGAGCCAGGAATGTGGAGGCTTCTTGAAGATGAAAAACAGGGAATCACATTCTCTCCCCTGGAGCCTTCAGAAGGGAAACAACCCTATTGACTCCTTGATTTTACCTCAGTAAAACTTGTCACCTCCAGAAATATGAGAAAATAAGCGTGTGTTGTGTGAAGGAAGAAAATCTGTGGTGATTAATCACAGCAGCAACAGGAATCTAATGCAAGGGATAGGGATATGTTTTATCTCCCTGAATGTATGATTGTCCACTTTCTTCCTTCTATCTTCCTCTGCAAATTTTAGAATGAAGATTTTAAGTATATCACTACTAACGAGAGAGATAATTTTCAACTAAAAGCTACCAATAGTTTGATAGATCTAACAGATGCCTCTCTATTCACTGTAGGGTTTCATGTACCTGTTCTACTACATAAACTTGCACCAATCTATGTATATGTAGCATGAGAAAGTTGAACAAGGAGATCTCAAATGACAATCACACCTTATCTGGGTTTCCTTGGGCCCCATTAGTATTCATGGCCTTGGGCTGCTGTGACATATTATCAAACATTTGGTGGCTTAAAACAATAGAAATGTATTTTCTCATGGTTCTGGAGGCCAGAAGATTCAGAATCTCTTTCAATGGGCCATGATAATGATGTCCACAGACCAGGATTCTCCAAGGGTTCTAGGGGAGTCTATTCCTGCCTTTTCCAGTTTCTGGTGTCTGTAGCATTCCTTGACCTTGGCCACATCACTGCAGTCTCTGTCTTTGTGGTTACATTGCCTTCTTCTCTTCAGTCTGTGCTAATTCTCTCTCTGCCTCATTCTTCTAATGACATTTGTGCTTGTGTTTAGGGCTCTCCTGGTTAATCCAGGGTAATTTCCCTGTTTCCAGATTCTTACTTTATACTCTTAAGGGTCATTTTTTTCATTTGAGGTATACCCATAAACCCCGATGGGTGAGAACTTGATAACGTGAGAACCACACTCGGTACTAGCCCATTACAGATTGAGTCTTAGTGTTGGTTTTGCATACACATCGCATCATCTCTCTCTCTCTCTTTCACCTTCTCTTTCTTCCTACCTCATAATCATAAATATCTTTATTTTCCTGAAGGAATTCAGTGGTACTTCTGTCCCTGTTCAGAGTACAGAGGGGCACACACACATAGGATGGCCTTTTTCTGGATTTTCCCCAAAGCCCTGCTCTGTTCCCCTTATCATGCAGAAGACAAGATACAAAGACAACTCTTATCCATCTGGGAAGATGCTGTCTCTACAAAAGACAGTCATCGGTTGTGACTTTCTGTACCTGTGATTTTCTTCATTGTCTTATGTCCTCAGTCATCCTGGAGGGTATGAGTGGACCCTGATTAAAAAAGGATTCACCAGGATTCTTATAAGACTATCAGGTTCAAGGAAGACAGTGAGTGATAACAACAACAGAGAGGAAGTCTGGAGAGCTAGTGGATGGACCTATCTGAGAGAGGCACAGGCACCTGTGCTAGATGGGGCATGGGTCTGCATGCCACTTCCTGAGCTCATGGATTTGGATCACTTAATGTCACTTTGCAAGTTCATTAATTGCTCTAAAAACAATCAGTGTGATTACCTAAGAGAGCGTCTTTAATAACTAGGAATTGGGAAAAAGTGCTATATTTTATTGTTAAAATAATGACAAACAAGCAAGAAAACAAAATAAGTGTATAAGAGAACACACTAAATCAAGGACATTGAGTAAGAAGTTTTGACTCATTAATGAAACATTTGGGCCACTATCTATTAGAAGAGAGAGATAAACAGGAGAAGAAAAAGGGCAGTAGAGGCAAGATCACAGTTATTTGCAAGAAGCATCAGAAGAAGGGAATAGTCTAATTCCTTAGCACTGGAAATCAGAGAGAAACCTTCAAAAAAAGTAGAGTACACATCCCTTTCTCACTCTCTGTTGTTCCCCTTCTCTATCTTCTATTTCAAAATCATAAATTACTTACTGGTGTTACAGGCACACCACATTGTCTAGGTAACTTGTGTCAAACAAATTTGAAACCAATGATCCCAGAGCCTAAATGCCTCCCACATCTGTCCCCTCCCTACCTCATTTTCACCTCCCCATCCCTATGCAAACCTAATCATCTTTCACGTGTTTCAAGAATCATCTCCCCAAAGGTCACCCAGCATCTACTTTACTACTTGCTCTTTAATAAATGACTCCTTCTCTTGGGTTCATAACATTGTGACCACAGGTCTAAGTTATTATCTTTTCTTTTTACCCTCATAGACTTTTTCTAAGCTGTGAATTCAGGACCACTCTTCTGCCATCCCCTCCCCTCCCCCAGGGAATCCAGAACTAACTGCCTGAGAACTTTTCTCAGTGAATCCTCTAAATGCCATATTTGGAAAGAACTTTGCTGGAGAATCAGTATCTGCTCATCAAAATTCACTGAGTAGGGGGATACCTGCAAGTCATTTTGATGTTGAGAGGATGCATACAGTCCCCAGATTTCATAGTTTCTCCAACATTTTCTAACCTTTTTACCATGACTCTAATTTTATGATTTTCAACTGGGCAGAAATTAAGGGAAATAAGGGATTATTTTATGTTTCATATCTAGAAAGAGAAATGGAGAAACAATAGAGCTGAATTTGCAAACTTTTCAAAGTGGTTTAGGTTTCTCTAGATAGGGGCATAGCATAATGAAAATACCAGAGGAGGACATCATTAATTATAGTTCCTGCTC